ATTCTATTCTATTCTATTCTATTCTATTCTATTCTATTCTATTCTATTCTATTCTATTCTATTTGTAGAGGCTTGCAGGTATCACAGTCGCCTAGTTTATGATGCCAAATGGACTAAAAATGCTGACAATCTGTTTAACTATTTGATTATTTCAGTTCTAAGCTCAAATTTTTCTTTTTAAAACTTTAAAGTGAAATTATAAAAGTAACCTCTGTTATAAAATCCCCACCATCACCTTCTGCAAACGAGTTAAACCTCACGACTCTGACACACTTTGGCCAGACTTCCCTCCCTCAGTGGAATCCAATTAAAGGATTATTACAACTTGTTGTTTTTACCTTTGGAGCTCTGCTGCCCTTAAAGCTGTGTGGCGCATTTATTAGAATACAAGGTTTGTTTTGTCTCCTATCAGACCCTTTAAATTTGTTTTACACTAACATTTTTTTAATTTCATCTAAATTAACGAAGAACAAAAATGATACATTTAATTTGAATGAGTAAGGAAAATGTGTGTATTTTTCTTGAACTTGCAAAGGACACATTGAGTTGAAACTGTATTTTTGTCTGTGGTAGAAGCAAACGAGCGCAGCTGGCTGATGTGAGCTCTGTCCTGACCATATAAAGCAGTGGGCTATATTTATCCAGGCGCTGACTCTGGGAGCTCCTGGGAAGTCTGCAGGCTCTACTTACCCCTYTGAAAAAAGATCTACATGAGCATATTTTAGTCTTTTGGTATGCAAGGAGAAGTTTGGCCTTTAAACTATAGCCTCATGTGGGATTGTTGAGCTGAAATGATTGACTTGTCTTACATGTTTTAATTATTTTTGCCTTTCTTTGGGCTGAATTTCAAAGTGAGTGTGCATGTGATTCTTGAGGAAACATAGACGACAGTTCAACAGTAATGCCAAAGTTTGGTTATTTTGGAGTCAAAGGTCAAGTAGCCAAACGCACCCWCATTGGTTAAAGCAAATACTTTTTCTTAAAGAAGGCAAATTAAAACAGAAAGAGAGTTGAACTGTCGTTTCTGTCCCATWAGTGAAAAGAGTGAAAGTGTGAAGCAGCGTGGTGGGAAGTGGGGGAAATGGTGCCACTTGTGAGCCCCATTCCTTACTTACATCGGTGGCTTTCTTCTCAGCCAGCTCAAGTTTCTCCTGGGCGTCTTTAAGAGCCTCGGAGTACTTGTCCAGCTCATCCTCGGTTCCTTTCAGCTTCTTCTGCAGAGCCACCAAGTCGTCCTCAAGCTGGTAGTTTTATTTTTTTTTGTAATAATGCWTTTTTTTKGGGGGGGGGGGGGKGCATTTTCAGTGCAGGACAGTTGCAGAGGTGATCGGAGGAGAGATGGAGTTGGCGTGAGTGCGCAAAGGCGCACAGAGCGCACAGAGAGACAARGCRCAGGACAGGACCAGAGAGGACAGAAACAGGGAGAGGGAGAGAAAAAAAGAGAGAAGTTAGGAAAGTTCATCATGCACTTCAGGTTCAGGTACCTTGGTGGCGGTCTCCTCGGCACCCAACAGTTTTTCCTCGGCAGTTTGGAACTCCTCAAAAACTCTATCTCTCTCGTCTTCCGTTACGCGCAATTTCTTTTCCAACTCTCTTATATCGTCCTCTAACTACACATGCATGCAAAGACATGTTTAAAAGTTAAACAAAGCATTACCAAGATATACAGTTTTTAACACAAAAAAATGTAAATTAAATGAAATGAAACACTGCAGAATAAARAGTTAATAACTGAGTCCTTAATTTGGAGTATCCATGAAAAATAATCGGAGGTGGCGATCCGGTTACATTTACAGCTGCCTTTTCTACACATTCCTACTGTTTTCCATCAAAGAAAGAAAGAAAAAAGAGAAAAAATATCCGACCTGTTTGCTTCTGTCCTCTGCTGCTTTCTTGTCTGACTCTGCCTGCTCAGCTCTGTCCAAGGCATTCTCCTTGTCGAGCTTGAGCATCTGCATCTTCTTCTTGATGGCATCCATGGCTGCTTGTTGCTGTTGGGCAGCGCCGACAAAACGTCCAACGGGAGAGGCAAAGGAGCGAGACTGAGAGAGGATGGGGGGAGGAGAGAGTCTGTGCCTGACGGAAGGCTGAGCTGGACTGCGGGCTCTGCCTGACTCTGTCCTGTCAAATATGTACTTTCAAGAGGGGGGTGACAGGATTCCTCTGGACATTCAATCCTTCGGGGAGGAGGAACATGTGGGTGCTCGGGGCTTTTTTTAAGGAGCTGCTCAGGGATTCGTAGTTCCCAAACATTTGACTTTTGATACGCCTTTATATGGGGAGTGACAAGCAGGGAGGCTCCCATGAAAGGCTTTATAATGGTGTAGCAGATGCTCTTTAGTTAATAAATCTTACTGAATGAACACGTTTTACACTTTTTCCTTGACTTTTTATTACTTAAAAGTTCCCCCTTTTATTTTAAGTTTGTACTTTTTAAAGTATCAAAGTTAGTTTAAGTTTATTTCAAACATTTTTTTTGGTCTTTTGATGGAAATTTAGCATTCTTTAACTTGAACAGATGGGACCAAGTTTTAAGGATGTTTTTTCCTGCCACTGGTGTCTGAGATCTTTTAAACAGATCTTCAAGGGGAAAACAAAAAAAAGTATTTGTATGCTAGGGTGCCATCAACGGGGGACCAGTGGGGGCAATGCCCCATCCCATAAATTTTCTGGATCCACCTACTGYCCACCCCAAGCCATGCTGTTTATTGTACACAATCTTACAGCCTGCCTTTCATGAAGACGAGTGATTACGTCATCACTCGTGTTTTTCTAATTTTTGCTTGTCTTCTAGCAAATAATTTGCACAACAGAATGAATTTTAATGAAACTTTCAGAAAGTAATCGTTGAATGTGCACCTACAACTAAACAACTTTTGGCATTAATTTGATTTAAAATGTACACAGTATGTCAACTTTTGCAAACACATACAGTACATGGCTGTGACGTTGTCAGTATTACAGATAGTGAGCTCATATTTAATGTGAGAGTTATTCCCAGCACACAGTAACAGATCACAGGATATTTTTGTTTAAATCTTTGGTACACAGAGTGGTTATTGATATGCGTTTTTTTCAAGAAATGGTTTTGTTTAAAATTAAAGAGGAGAGGACAGAAACAGTGCTGTTTTCAATCAGTGATATCAATAATAAGCTAAATAAATGAGACTATATCAGAGGTTATTCCCTAACTCCAACATTGCAGAGTTTTTTAAACAACCTTTAAATGAAAACAGAGTAAAAAAAACTTGACCCAAAATGATCAGTGTCCCCCAGGGGGCCACCCCTTAGCAAACAYTCTGGGACTGCCCCTGATTAAGAAGACATGTTTTCTTTAAAGTCCTAAAGGCATTGTTCATTCCCACAGGCCGGAGGAAGGGTCCAAATGCAGCCAAGTGTTTACCTGATAATGTATCAGATTACCCAGCCCCAAACTGTGACTGGGACATCTGATCTGTCAGGATGCTGTGGAAGACCAGCATCCAGACAGGATGGGTTTAAACCCTAATTAGAGCTGACGAGTCTCTAATCTTCTTCCTATTTGAGAAATGTTAACTGCTTTACAAGCAGACAGGGGAAAAATGTTTCATGTTATCCATTAGGTCACTTTGTTTTAGCATGTATCAAAAAAGATGAGATGGTTTTCATGTGAAATTTCTGGACTTTAATTTGTTTTAAAGCAAYAACTTGTTGAAATGTTAAAACATCTCTGAGGACTGAGAAGTGTCTTCTAGTTTGCTCGAAGATACTCACAGATATTTTTAGGTTTGCCTCCTCTTTCGTGCACCTGCCTTGGTCTGTAATATAGAACCCAGACGCAGTGCCAAGAGCCCGGGGTCTAATGGCATTAGATACACCTCTTAAAATAATCCCTGTCTTGCTCAGGCTCAGATCACTTTTATGGATTATTGTTGCTCCGCCTGTCAGGGTTGATCATAATTTTGAGCTAAAAATACATAATCTTCAGATTTTAGTCAGAAGGAGGAAACACGTCAGTGCACACTAGCATTGCAACGACTTTAATTTTCTTCAGCAAATTAGCACTTGCCACAGAAGAGAAAGTCACGTTAATATGTGAATTTGYGTGTAATGTTAGCAAAATATYTCATGAAACATTTAACAGATTTTAATAAAACTGTGAATGTAAATATTGGAAATACATCTACAACTTATTAACTTTTTGGAGTTAATCAGGATGGCCACCACAGCTAGTTGATATTAGCAAACATAAAAATGGCTATAACTCAGTCAGTTCTATAGAGATTGAGATAAAATTGGGTGCCAGCACGTAGGATCTCACAATATTACTTGACATACATAACATCAGGGGCGGAGCCAGAGGGGAGGCTGGGGTGGCCATCTCTGACACCTGATTGGACACCCCAGGTGCCACCCCCAAATAACTGACAAGCGGGTGGGGATCTTGGATTTTGTTTTTGTGTTTAAAGCTTGTTCTCTGATACTACTGTACTATAAACATTGTTTTAGCTATGTATGTATAAAAATTGCTGAATTATAGCCCTTTGTAAAATTAACATTAGTAGTTGGCTTAATTAGYTAGCTTAATTTATTTGTGATGGATTTGCAACCTGTCCACAGTGTACCCCACCCCTCCCAGAGTGACAGCAGGATATGAGCACAAGTGACCCCCGTGACCCTGAAAGGAAGAAGTGGGTAAACTTAATGAATGGATAGCTTAATTTATGATTAGCATTGACAATATTCAAGTGATCATTCTTAGACATTCCACAACAAATTTAAYATCAATAAGTCTTTCAATGTATTTTTTTCTTTTTTAAATTTGTACATATAATTGATTTGTTTTAAAGAAATTAATGAAGATTTTAAATTAAAAAAATAGTTGAATTAGTTAGTTAGCTGTGGTGGTTTAATTTTGAATTAGAATTTAGAATTCGATAAAGACTGTTTCTGGCTACTTCTACACTAACCATCAGCTTTGTATGTATAAAAATGGCTGAATAATAAGTTGTGACTAGCATTAGCATTATTTAAATCATTCTTAGTTATAATTACACAAAAAAATCTTCTTACTATCTTGAATTTTCAAATCCAGAATGCTTTTCTTTATTTTCTTATTTCTTTATGTGCCCCACTAGAAAAAAAAAAACCTGGGCCACCCCTGTGCCAAGCTTTGTAAAAAAGTCTAGCTCCACCCCTGCGTAGCATTATTTAACATTCCTCCTCAAGATAATTTTACAACAAAACTTAGTTGGTCTATATGCATTCTTTCAAGGAAAGTTACGGCTTTAATTATGAAATTACTCGCTTTCATAAAGTCTAAAACCTTTGGAAAAAATTCTGGTTCGTCTTTAACTGCAGTTTGATTATAATTATCTTAAACGTCTTTTCCAATATGTGACTCGCTCAATTCAGGAATGAAATTGAGCCCCATTATTTTCTCTTCTGGGACATCAGCATCGTTAAAAAAAACCATTAAATTAGTTTTGAATGAAGTCCAAACATTAATAAAACTTACAGAGCCTCAGCACTCCTTTCACTGGAAAATAACTTYCACAGAGTGAGCGAGTGAGAGCCAAAGGAACTACAGCTCATATAGTTTAGGTTTCTTTTATGTTACTTTATCATGCATGTTATGAAAAAAGCATCAACTCACTCACCGCTTAAGGCTTGGGACATTTAGTAAAGTCACCACATATCCTGAAGGAGTTTCATTTTCTTTGCAGCTGGAGTGAAAAAAAAAAAAGAATCAAGACATATAATTTTGTGGGGGGAAAAATTGGCTCGTCAAGCTCTTCAAAGTGCAAAACAAGAGAAGCCGTGAAATAAAATGAAGATGTCCGACCGAGACAGAAAAATAAAATGTTAATGACTTTGGCAGATGGTTTTCTCTGGAAAAGCTAAAATATACAATCGAAGGAGAAAAATTAGCTGAGGGAATATCATTTGTATTCACGCTAAATTAGTTTTTTTTTCTTATAGCTTCTCTGATGACAAGAAACAAGACTTTCTTTCTGAAAACTGTCAATATTTTCAAATAGAACATGCTCAGACATGTTGCTCATTTCTTAGCGTCATGACTTCACAGAGGAAAGTGAGACAAATACAAATGTGATGATCAAAAATTACATTCCCTCTTTTGTTTCCAGAGTATAAGTTTATCATCAATCAATATCTTACCTGCTGTAGAAAGCTTTTTGAACAAGCTCATTGTGGGAAAACATTTATTTCTGACTGGATTAATAAGAAAACAGCTAGAAACATGTTAGAACTTGCTGAAATTATTTTAAGATGGCAGCCATCCAGCTTGAACTAGCTGTTAGCTAAAACTGATGTTCAAAGAGCTAGCTTTAACTGATAAAACAATAACTGTTTAAATGCTTTCCAGAGAACTACTCTTCTAAAGCTCCKATCTTTTGTATTTATGGCCTAAATGTTGTTGCATTGAAGAGACTGCCTGCCTTTCTCAGTCACACATGATTCAAAATCTTCAGTTCATATAGGAAATAGTTTAATCTGCTGGTGCTTCTTCCAAACCTCTTGTATTTTAATACAAAGGSTCTCTTTTTCATAACTGCAAGGGCATTTTAAGGGGAGCTCATCCCCCACAGCTGGGTACAGAGCAGCCAAGTGAAACTCTGAGGATCACAGTGCAGGCCGCCTTCTTGTCAAAGACCATCCCGAGATTTCTGCCGACATCATTCAGATTTATATATAGAAAATACAGCTTGGCTCTTTAAGATGGTGGCCCTGCGATTAGATAGCTCCATGCAGGGGAATCARTATTTAGCTTAGCAAAAACGGAAAGGGGGCCACAGGAACAGTGCAACCCAATCTGTAACTCAATCCTGACCTGCGACCTACTGACGATGGGCTTATTCACAGTACTGTTCCTCTCTTATAGACTGGTGGGTGTGAGACTGGTAGGTTAGTGAACACAAGGGGACGCCTAACCAGAGACCAGGCATAGAGACAGAAACAACATTTTACTTGATGGATAGATGCAGTAAGGTTGTGACATTTTGACTCCTCCCGATTTGTGTGGTGATAAATTAGTCTTTAGGACTGTGAATCACACTGAGGTATTCTGATGTAACAACGTTACTGATTCAGGATTCACA